GAATACATAATAAGAGATTTGTTAAAAAAGAAATTGAAGAGAAAACATATTGAGATTCCGACTCTGCCCAGTTTGGACCATGGTTCAAATTATTGGCCGACATCGATACAAGTCATCAATTGAATCGTATTCGAATCGGCATCTTATAAGTCAATACCGTTACACATTACGTATAAATCTCGAGTTTCATACGAGTCAAATATTGATTTGTCTATGAGTCACAAAGTTATCATTACAAAATCGGTCGATACAGTTCTCTGATGCCGCAAAGTGACTTAAAATTCATCTCATATTCAATCCTTTCTTTTAAGTCGTATCGCCCAATATGATGATGTGACTCCACCACCGACATGTCTCAAATCTCTCCAAGTCAAAAGTTAATACTATAACTTTAAACTATAGTTTGGACGACAATAATATTGATTGGGAATGAAAATCACATTCCTAAATTCTGATATTACCATGTTGCAATGGTCTAGTTGAGAATAAAATTACTATTGTGATAAAATTATCAATGATGTTGTGTATTCTAAACCCATTGTCAATAATAGTAATCTCATTCCTACATTAATTTGGTAATCTGAAAGAGGAACAAAAGTTTAGCAAAACCCATTTTTTGCTTTCTTCAAATCATTTCTTTTCCTAAATTTCACTCTGCAACAGTAATCACAATGAAAATTTTGGTCTTAGGTAATCCTAGTGGTAGAGATTTGGATATTTCCTAATATATTTTTTCTCTAATCATTATTGAGTGAGGAATCTGTAATGAGCCTCATTCGAAGGCATTATAGGTGACTTGTTGAGAAATAAATTGCAGAGAACATACATTGAGATTTGACTATTGGGCCAGTTTGGATGGTGATAATCTTGGTTGGGAATGAAAATCTCATCCCTAGATTATCATGTTGGATAGTCAACTATTCGATAATCCAAATCAANAAATGCGGGACAAGGGGAGGTTAGCATTTCTCTGTCCTGTCCATTTTAGGAGTGGGGTCCACTTAGATGGATAGGGGATGGAGTAGGAATGGGGGACGGTGGCCGTACGAATTTCACCCCTCACGATTCCCGCAATAGATTACGATCGTGACCCTTCCGCACTTTTGCTTTTGGTACCTTCTTCCCTTCGACAAAATACTCTCCTTTTTTTTTTTCGTTTTTTCTTAAATTTTTTAAATTAAAACTGTAATGTGGAAGAAATATTTTTTGATTTTGCATTAAAAATTATAATTCAAGAATAAAAGTTGACATAATCCGATAATCGGTGTCCATCCGATGTCTTAAGGTCGGATTAGCATGATTGTTGTTATTTTGATTAATTTCTTTTCTGGTATGATTAAAGACAAATCTTTTACATTTAAATTAAAAAAATTATGAAAAATAAATCTCTTATAATTTATTCTAAATGAGTTATTAAATTTCAAAACTATGATATCTAAATTTACAACCTTGTCTCCATTGAACTATCTCTAAGGTTAGTTGTTGGTGGTTTTGTGAAGCTATTTTGAACTAACAAAAAGAAAAACAACAACGGGAGTAGAAGAGTCAATGTCGAAAACAGGATTCATCACTTATATCTCTCGTTCAAAATGGTACATGAGACTTTCATCTCACAGCTCCTAAGTGATAAAAGAAAAAAAACGAGTTCTTCTTTCTTTTTTGATTACCTTTATCGTGTATTTATAAGATCGAATCCATTCGATTCCTTAAAAAGATTATTAATCCTTAACTTTCAAAGAATCCTTCATCAATAATTGTGAAATGACTTATGTTTTCATTCTTTTCGACCTTGGTCCCATAGGTGCAAGTCAGAAAGATTGAGAAATAAAATTATCTGATTTGATTCGTTCTTAATAGCCATGAGATGATTATCTTAGAGTGATCTTTTTTTTGACAGATGCTCCTATTACACTCGTAGTATTTGAAAGACTATGTAGCATCTATATATCGAGAATTCAAATATTATATACGACATTGGTTTGATCCTCTGTAGGAACTACCCATAATAATGAACTTGTAAAATGAATCTATTTATCATAAAAAGATTTGTTGTTTATAACCCTACTTCACCTTAATTGTTATTTAAACAAGTAAAAGTTTTGTCTTGGTCCAAGTGGGGATAACATAAAAATGCTACTACTTAAATAGTGTAAAACTTAAACATACGTTGTGCAAAATAATAAAATNGTGTTTGCAAAAGTGTCTAATATTCAGGGTGCCAAGGGTTTTACATGCATATAACCAAGTCTGTCTCACAAGAACTAGTTGGGCTAGGACACCCTACCTAAGGGGTAACAGCCCATCTTCACTCACTCTTGAACTTGGGCCCTAGGCACATGGCAAAAAGAGGTTCATAGGAACCTCTCTGTTTTCCTTTTGAACGCGGATGGAACTAAGAAAAAGCAGCAAGCACGCGCAAAGAATATGCCAAATGCAGGACCGGCTCCACCCAAGCGAGGCGGTGGTCGCCTAGGCCGGTTTTGCACACCTCTCTTAAAATTATATGATTAAATATTTAAAAAATATTTTGATCAAAAAAAATATTTAAAATATATAAAAATTTAAGATATTGCGTCAAATGATCCAAAATTTTTAAAAATATTTTTTTAAATCATAAATATATGTATATTCAAAAAAAAAAATTTAAAAAATACTGTATTCTTGACCAAAAAATTATAAGACTCTACTCTCTAATTTTATTTAAATTCTCAATTGCTTTAGCATATTTATTCATTTAATTTTCTTGAATTATATTTTTTGTGATAACTTTGATCTAAATCTAATCATTTGTATTGCATCATCTAAAAATAATTTAGGGCTTAGCTCAACCCTGTCCAGATGACTCCTTATTTTACATTCTCAAGTCAACAAAGGCTAATTGACCAACTCTAAAGGTAGCTCAAATGATAATTAAGACAAATTATAAGTTTAAATATTCTGAATTCGAATTTTAGCAATCTTTTAAGGTTAAACCACGACGAATTTATCCCCCATGAATATCTTAATCCGGGTGAAGATAACTTGCATTTGACTAAATTGAAGAAAAAATTAGTCGAAATATGTATAAATTGACGTAAATATTTTTGACTTCAATTATAAATTAATCTTAAAAAATTATAAATTTCAATAGGAGTGCATTCGATTCTCTCTCTTTGCTTCAATGGCATCATGCCAGAAAGTGTGAGATGAAACCCCCAAATTTGCTTCATTAGCATAACGATGAAAAAGTGTAGGACGAATACTTCATACTTGTGTTGATTAGCTAAGTATAGTTGACGAAAATTTTCCATCAAACCCTGCAATCAAAAAAAAAAAAAATACATATTTGGGTCAAAGAATGCCCCGTTTGACATGACCCAGTCTAGTATTCAATATTCTTAATTAAGCTTGTTAATGGATTCAATTTCAATTTAAATTCAACTTGAATTTAAATTCTTTTAACCAAATATAAATTAATATTTTCATCCATCCATTTATATGAATTCAATTTGAACCCGTTTAAATCTCTCAATTCGGATATGAATATAAATATATACAAATTCAATTCAATAAAAATTATATATATATAAAATAAAATAGCTTACAATTTAAATCTCAAAAAATTATTATTCGCGATTGAAATCGCTTTAAATTTTATTTTAAAGTTAATCTAACAACTAATATTAACACCCTTAATTTATTAAGAAAAATATGGTCCTAGGGTGTATTTAGAGTAATTTTTTAAAAATACTTTTAAAAATTATTTCTCACAAATATTTTTTAAAACATAGTGTTTGAAACCGACCCACCACTACATCTGCCACCACCGCCGTCGCAGCCACCATCACCACCATTGCCGCCGCCACCAACGCCATCACCACCACTATTGTCGTCGCCGCCACCACCACCATCGCCATCTCCCTCGTCGTTACCACGATCATTGCTACTCACCACTTTTCATCCGAACTATAAATCGATGTTTAAATTTCTTTATCTATTCTCTATATTTGTAATTTAATTTTGAATATGAATAAAAATATATTTATTGTTTAAGCAATAACTGGTATATAATAAAATAGTTTACAATTCAAATCTTAAAAGATAAACAAAATAATTTTTGTTATTTGCGATTGAGATCACTTTAAATTTTACTTTAAAGTTAATTTAACGACTAATATTAACACCCTAAATTTAATAGGGAAAAATAGACTCTAAAGGTATTTCGAGTAATTTTTTAAAAGTACTTTTAGAAATTATTTCTCATAAATACTTTAAAAAAAAATAGTGATTGAAACTGCCCTACCATTATTTCTACCATTGCCACCGCCACTGTCGTCATCGCNATTTCTCATAAATACTTTAAAAAAAATAGTGATTGAAACCGCCCTACCATTATTTCTACCATTGCCACCGCCACCGTCGCCATCGTCATCGCCATCATCACCCACTGTAGCCCCCACCGCCATCGCCACCCACTCCACCACTGTAGCCACCATCGCCATTACCACCATTGTAGCCGTCATCACCACCACCGCTGCCGTTACCATCACCTCCACCATCTCTGTCACCCTCACTGTAAATTGATGCTTAAATTTTTTTATTTTTTTTTTATGTTTTGTGATTTGATTTTGAATATGAATATAAATATGTTTATTGTTTACTATTTTTTATTATTTTGTACCTTTAAGCACACGCAATTACTAATATATATAAATTTGATCTACTTTTATGGATCACATTGATAATCGAACCAGATGTCCCATTACAAGCGAATGTGGATGCAATTTAATATTTTTATATCCGTTGAATAACCAAATCGGATTGTATAACATTTTTTTTAATTGAAATTTGAATTTGAATTCGGATAGATCCGAATTCGATCTGGCTTATTCCTAATCTTCTCTTGTTGGACCTAGTCTCCTCAATCCTGTGATGAACTGGCAGTCAAACCCCCGGCTATCCATTTTTTGATTTTTCAGCGAGGGAGAGGCAAAGGGAGGAGAGATCAAACAAACACTTAGGTAGAATAAAAATGAAGCCAGAGACGGCGACACTAATTCTGGTGAACCTTGCAGGGATAATGGAAAGAGCAGACGAGTCACTGCTACCTGGAGTGTACAAAGAAGTTGGGGAAGCACTGCACACGGACCCAACTGGCCTCGGGTCGCTGACACTGTTCCGGTCTCTGGTTCAGTCTCTATGTTACCCTCTCGCCATTTACATGTCCGTGCGTCACAATCGAGCCCATGTCATAGCTTATGGGGCGTTTCTCTGGGCTGCCGCTACTTTCCTCGTGGCTTTCTCCTCCACCTTCTCTCAGGTCCACCCACTACCAACCCATCCTTTTTATTTTTAATAATTATATTGGAATTATAGAAATTTAGTTATGTTTCAATCGATTATGCGTATATGTGTGTCTTGGGTATTGGATTTGTTTTAAAATTGAGCTGCCTAGCTGAATTTTTATGGGTTTATGAAGGGCTGGATTTCACCTTAATTTTGCGCGACAAGGTTGTAATTATTGGTGGTATTGTTATTGTTATTGTTATTGTTGTTGTTGTTGTTATTAATAGTTTACGAGATTGATCCTAGCATTAGAAGGCGTTAGTATTTTAAGGTAGTGATGGGCCAATTCGATTATCTGGGGGGTAGTGATGGGCCAATTCGATTATCTGGGGTTCTTATTCTTGAAACTAATGCGAAGAATTGAAGTAGGAAGGCAATGTAAGAAATCACCAGAATTTGCTTGATAGATTGACTAAGAAACACAATGCAAAACTTTACAGAAAGCAGGTAAAACAAATTAATGAGCTATATAGTTTTGCTGTTCATCTAACTGTTTCCAAGTTTTTGCGGAACTGTAAACGTTTGTTCTCTGTGGAGTTTGCATTTTCAGAACAAAAAAAGAGAGAAAAATAGGTTACCCTATAGTTCTTGGAAGTATGTTGTAAGTGTTTTTAGAATGTTTCTTGTTGGAACCAGAAGACCCTGTTCGGCAGAAATGTTGCTTTCGTCATGATTATTCTAAGGGTTTAGCTGTTCATCTTGCAGTTAGATGAGTTGCAATACAGTTCTTGCAGTTGAGGACTAACGAGTTAAGAGAAGTTGCAGTAGAAAACAAGTTTCAGAGAAGATGCTTTTGAGGCAACACATTTCTATAATTCTGTAGGAAAAATTCTTTGATAGTGCTTTGTTGGATATTAGAAAATGAACCGAAAAATTCAGCATCAGCTTAGTTAGCATAATGAGCATGCTTTGTTGTAACCTGAATTTTGTGATCTTTGGTGAAGAAGTAAACATATTTGAATCTGGAACTTGGACAAGCTTTAAACACTTCATCTAATGAATGAGGTAATAAACTTTTGATATCTTGGGACCATAATAATTAGCATCATTAAATGAATGGAAATGAATAATAAATTGTGTACACAATATGAAAATCTACAATAAAGATCTCTTTCTTTTTCTTTTCTTTCTTTTTTAATTATAGAAGTCTTTCCTTTACAAGTTATTTATTTCAAATGGACTGATATGCCGAAGGAAGTTAGACTCGTGAAAAATCATGTGCAACATAATAAAAAATTCCATTTTCTTGCAGTGTTCTTGTACTTCCTTGTCAACAAGGAGAAAATTTTTCCCATAGATTAAAAGAGCATGGAATTCACTGTACCAGATAGTTATTGAACGAATCTGGCTCTTCTTGTGACTGCAATTTATATGGAGTTCAATTTTGTTAAAAAGGTTGGACACCTCTCCATCCCATATATGCACTTGGAACTTTATAGAAATGGAAAGAGACTAGTTGTTATCAGCACTAATACCTTGTCAAATTTTCCCTTTGTTGATTAGGTGGCAGTATCAAGAGCTTTGAATGGGGTTGGCCTTGCCATAGTTGCACCTGCAATTCAGTCCCTTGTAGCTGATTCTACTGATGACAATCACCGTGGTATGGCTTTTGGATGGCTGCAGCTGACCAGCAACCTTGGCTCAATCATTGGAGGACTCTTTTCTTTGTTGTTAGCTCCAACCACATTTATGGGTATTTCCGGTTGGAGAGTTTCCTTTCATCTTGTTGGAATTATCAGCGTTATCGTGGGTATTTTAGTTCGACTCTTTGCCAATGATCCACACTTTCCCGGTGGTGGTGTGAAAGCTCGCACTCAAGTTGCACGCAAATCCTTTTGGTCAGAAGTGAAAGACCTGGTTCATGAAGCAAAATCCGTTATGAAGATTCAGTCCTTCCAGATTATTGTGACTCAGGGTGTCACTGGTTCATTCCCCTGGTCAGCTTTGTCATTTGCACCCATGTGGCTAGAGCTTACTGGATTCTCGCATCAGAAGACGGCCTTCCTGATAGGCTTGTTTGTCATCGCTGCTTCACTTGGAGCACTGTTTGGAGGTTGGATGGGGGATGATCTATCCAAGCGTTTACCAAATTCTGGCAGGATAATTCTGTCACAGATAAGCTCTGCGTCGGCCATCCCTCTTGCGGCAATACTTTTGTTGACTTTACCCAGTGATCCGTCCACAATGTTCATGCATGTTTTGTTCTTGTTCATTACGGGGTTTTGCATATCCTGGAATGCTCCAGCTACAAACAAGTAAAGATTCTATATCCACTCTCTGAATTTTCCTGTATGTTGCTCACTTTATGTTTACAAGTTCATCATATTATCTCCTGTCAAAATGCTTTGAGAATACTTTGCATATAAAGCACAAATTGTGTGACCACGGGATTTATATACTATAACAAATTTAAGTCTCAAGGCCCATGCTCACCAAAGAGAAAGCCTTTTGTTTTTCCCATTTTGCCACTCTTTTCGTAGGTGGGTTTTTTTGGATGGGTTTGGGGTGGTTTTTTTGTTCTTTTGGTTGGGGAAGAGGAGGGGGGTGGGGAGAGTAAGTAACACAGAACAATCTTCAGTAATAGGGTTGATCATAAGATGGTATTATCATAATTTTTAACAAAAAATAAAACCACAACCTATTAAGCTTGAGAAGTCTCTTCTGCTAGCCTGAAATAAATAAAGTTATAATAATAGGGAACAAATAATAATCTAATTGCAAACAGTATGTAATTAATTATTGGCAGAGTTTCAATTGACTAGTATTATTAATTGAGTGTTTTAATCATATGGTATAGACAGTCCAATTTTTGCAGAGATTGTCCCTGAAAAATCCCGTACAAGTATCTACGCTTTGGATAGATCGTTTGAGTCCGTATTATCATCATTCGCTCCCCCTGTAGTTGGAGTTCTGGCTCAGAATATTTATGGCTTTAAACCAGTTCCTGAAGGAACTGGAGGTATTGGAACAGACAGACAGAATGCCACATCACTGGCAAAAGCACTTTACACAGCAATAGGAATACCAATGGCGCTTTGCTGCTTTATCTACTCTTTCCTCTATTGCACCTACCCAAGAGATAGGGAGCGGGCACGTATGGAAGCTCTCAGAGAATCAGAGATGCAACTAACTGAGTTGGACTTGTCCCCCACAAGAGGACAATATTCGCTAGTTCACTTTACTGCAACAGAAGAGGATAGACCCATTGTGGAAATGAATAATGGGGAAAATGGACTTGAGTTTGTTGACAGTGATGGGAAGCCGGTACTTCATCGCCGGCCGACATTCTCCCACTTAGGTGAATAGTAGTCCTGAC